CTCATTTTCTTTGTGCACAGTTGCCTTCCTCTGTTCGCATACATGTTCATGTTACATATGTCTTCTGTCTTTCCCCAAGTCACCTTATTCCGCCTTGCGCCGGACAAAGCCACCCGCCTCAAGTACCAGTACCGGTGCTGGATACCAAAAGAACGGCTCTTGTGAGAGGTATGCTGGTCCTCCACAAGTCAGTTCACGAAGGGACTCGTAGTGCCAATCTTAGGCTCCGAAAGCATCCACGCAAAAGTCGGGATCGGTCAAACAGCAGATCTGTATGGCAGCTTGCAGCGAACCCTTAATGTTCGAAAGGGATATGCCCCAAGATCCTCGTAGCGCCATGGGATCGCTCTGGCAACATGGAGCCTCACGCTGCAACTGCAACCGTCCAGAGCCAACTGACGCCTCAGCTTTGGGTACAGTCACTTCCATGATCAGTAAGGTCAAACCAAACAAAGTGCAGGTCTTGCAAACAGTTTTCCTTGTCCCTGAACGGCAAGCCCAGGCCACACCACCCCAGCTACAGCCGCAAACACTACGCCTACGCGCAGATCACGGATCGCGGTAAATCTGATTGAGGCAAATGTCTGGACATCTGCCGGTCCAATCTCAGTAGCATTTGCGGCATGACCTTAGAGCCTCCGTATGGTGTGTATATATAAGGGTGGCTGGGTGTGCCTGTTGACAGGATCCTGCGGGCAGTCCTACCGCATCCACATTAGCAAACTTCAAACGCAATATCCTCAAGGTCATGTTGAGAACCCCATACAAAATCCGCGAAACAATGAAACCCACTCAAGGTCATGTTGAGAACCCCATGGCACCCGAAAAACAAAAAAGCCGAGAGGCTCAAAAAGGGCCTATAGGATCAGGTGCCCAGGCGAGCTCGGAAAGGGCAGGTTGGCCTGGCGGTTCGTCTCCTCGGTGTCCTGCGGGCCGAACAGTGAAAAGGGCCAGGCGTCTGCTGGGGACTCCCGGAGCGTGCGGAACGAAATGCAACTCACTTCCGTGGATTGGCCCAAAGAAGTCGAAACTTGGCCCAAAACGGTAGCCACACTTTCTGGTTGCCACTCAAATGGTCTTCCCAAACAGTTTAAAGCACAGGGACTCAGAAAGCGAGGCAAAATGGCTGATTGAAAAGGCAAGCCAAGTCTGGCAACGAAAATCGCAGAAGATCGTGGGGCAATTTAAGACCAAGCTTTCGTTGTGCTGCTGATTAACCACATTTCAGCCATGATCGTAGTGTTCGTTTTTGTCAATTTGCCAAAAACGCAAACCCAGCGGTTCTTCTCTTTGGGGAAACAAAGCTCTGGGCTTAAGTTCGATGTACCTTGAAGGCATCCCCCATTAAACAATTGCAGCTCAAACTCCTTGCCAACCAAAAGGTGCTGTCCCAACCACCTGGCCTCAAAAGGGTCTGTATCAAAGAGCACCCCTCAAATGGTGGCTTTGCTTTCGGCTTCCCTTTAAACCAACACCAAAAACGCGCAAAAGAACCTTTCAACACATATGTAAAGACAACCCTTGCAAGGATGTGGGGTTTACCTTTGCCGCTGAGTGCTTGAGCCGTCTGCCAAACTGACGCGGCACTGGGAGTTTCGCAAAATCGCTTGTGCCCCATCCTTTTCGGTACTTAGGGAACCCAAAGGGAAGCCAACCATTTTGGAAGATTAGAGAGAAACGCCATCTCGGCCCCCGTCCTTGCAGAAGCGCATGAAAGACTTAGAGGTTTCCAGGCAGCTCATCGTGGTGTTCGCCGTGAACACAAAGGACATCGCCTGGCGATGATTTTGATTGGCATCTCAAGAATCATGGGGGCTGGGGGGAAGGGAGGGGAGGGGGAGGGAGCCCAAATAAGCCCTAAATAAGGCCTTATTAAGGGCTTAATAAGGGCTTATTTGGGATCCCTCCCCCTCCCCTCCCTCCCCCAGTGCCCATGAAACAATGACAGTGGAGGAGACAGCTTTCAGTGGCCCGGTGCCCTTTGATAATTTGGTTGCAACCCCTACTACCCTCCAACAATGGATTTCAGTTGCCTGATTCTCCCTGATTATTTGGACAAGAAACCTTTGATTAGCCTCATTAGCTGGTTGCAACAGCCTCCTACCCTCTTTTCCAATCATGGAAGTGGACAAGAGGCCGGAAAATGAAGGTGGTCTGCTAAAACTCAGTCCACTTCCGTGATTGTTGGATAACATGTTCAGAATTCCCTTGAAAGACGTCCACATCAAGAAACTGCTTTGCTGTGTTCACTGCCACCTTTTGCTTTCCTTCCCAGTAAGAACATCCCAGCCAAACTGTGCCAGCTGCACGACGCCCAGCACAAGACCAGCCTGCGCTGCTCAGCCAAGAATTTCGCATGGGTCTTGTCCACGGCTCCGAGCGATTAAGGGATGTGCGTGTGCTTTTGTGATGGGTATCCCAAGGGAAAAAACGGATGGGATTTATTGTTTGTTGTTTGTTTGCTTGCTTGCTTGCTTGCTTTATTGTTTGTTTGTTTGTTTATTTGTTTGTTTGTTTGTTTGTTTATTTGCTTGTTTGACTCATTCATCCAACAGAAATAACGCAGAAGGGCTGATCTTGGAACGGCAACTTGCGTGCCCCAAGAAAGAGAGGTCCTTTCAGAAGCGTTTCACACACTTGCTCCAGACCAACCAGTTGCTTCGCGCAATCTGGGTCGCATCCAAAATGCGACACAGACCATTGCTAGAACAAGTGCCAGGAAGTACGCGGTTGCTGGGCACGGACTCCTGACAATTGAGATGGAACCCAACCAAAACACCCGGGGATTCTGCTAAACCTAAGTCGCTCTTGTATCTTTTCTTGCGCACACTCTTGCGCTTGCTTCCGCGCCCTGTTTTGCTGTGGGCTTGCTGCGTGGGTCACGGGTTGGCTCAAGGCTTTGGAAACCGCTACTCTGCAGATCTGCGAGGCCTGGTGGGCCACGGTGAGGCCTTAGACCTTGCGCCTGCCGGGGTTTTGGCGCCAAGCTTGCACCTGAAACCCGGCCAGAACTCCAAGCAAGTAAGGACAACCTGCCTACACTGGCGTTGATGCAAAGGCTATGCACAAACACATCAACGGTGGATGCTCATGAAAATTCAAGTCTCCAAGTAGAGAACATTTAACGAGCAATCCCCACAATCGTTCCGTTTCCAATACTAAGGGGCAGCAAATTGCTGTAAAAACACTTGCGCCAGCTTGTTGCCAGGGACCTTTTCCTTCCACACACACACACACACATAAACACACAAACACGCACACACGCACGCACACACGCAAACCCCGCATGGTTTGCATAGTCTTGTCCCGGCACATACACAAGAAAGAACATACTTGTTCGAATGAAAATAACACTGCAAGAAACCTTGCACACAGCCTTCCTCCGTCTTGCGCCCCCGCCCCCCCCCACAAATGACGCAAATCACACGTGCAGAAATTTGAAAGTGGAATTTCCTAAATTGAAGGGGGGTTAGACGAACCCCCCATTTCTAGCCCCTTGGGATCATAGATCTTTATGAGGTTCTCTATCAAGTTCGAGTTTTTTCTTTGGCCCCACCCAGAGCTGGCTACGTTTTCTTGCGCGATTGGGCCAATTCGTAGCGAGCTTTGGCGGTTTAAATCGGAGCTTCTGCTTGCTTTGCGCTTGGAAGAACCTCTGACCGAGGAACTGCGCACGGGCAGCGGGTCAGGGGCGGGTCTGCTTGGAAGGGGTGACCCCTAGTCGCATGAACCAATCCTGAATCGCACGCATGCAGAGTTACAGCATCGCCCTTTGTTCGCTACTTTCAACGTTGAAGGCACCCTAGCCCCGATTGAAGGCTGGCTCTCGAACCGCTTGGTGACTTGGGAAAAGCTGGTGAATGCTGGAATCCGGACAATTTGAATCCCCTGTGGAAATGACTGGACTAACTAACAGCTATTTCCGCCAACCCCTGATAAGTGCCAGAGTATCCGTCATCTTGATTCTTTCTGGGCTAGGAAAGTCAAAGGGAACCGCTCATGGCAAGCCCATCTCCCATGAACAAACTCATGCCAGTGTTTTCCAGATGAGTGTCCCATTGGTTTCTCACTCACATCGCTCTTCTGATTATCATCAGCTTCACAAACACCACACTCGGTTTCGTTTAAAGCGCCGACCCGAGTCTATTCGCCTGGCTCCACTCGGAAAGCGGCGAGCCAGCCACCGCCTGCGACGGAAGCGAGTCAGACCGTTCCAGCAGCTTGAAGAATTGAACCTTTGTCACCCTGCTTGAACAGAAAACGATAAATCGGACAGGATGCCAACATGGTAGGATGCCAAACCAACCCATGCATAACTTTTTAAACAGGCTACTCAACCGATTTGAGTTCAGCCGCTTTCTGCAAAGAGGGCTTGATCCCTGGACATGATGAGATTGCGGACAGAACGGTTGCTTACCTGTGGCGATTAAGCTTCTCCCTTGACTACCCGCTCTTTGCTGCCTGCTCAATTGCTTTATGCGGACATCAGGCCGGTGTTTAGCACTTGCCAAACCTTGATTCAAACTGCAATGAGTTTTCCGTTAGCGCCAGGAAGGAATCACTGCCATCTCAGCCTGCAACAGAGTTTGGTTTCTGATTGAGCGCAGCAGTCCCGCATCTACCTTGAAGTCCAGTCAACCACTTCGTTTCATTGGGCGACAGCAACGAAAACAAGGCCTCTGTGTTGAAAACCGGTTGGTTCCTGTAGCCAAATGCGTGGATTCCCCCGATAAACACAACTGGTTTGCCTCACAGGAGACCTCTTTCGGGTTTTCAGTGTCGAACAAGAAAACCACTTCAAGAAAAACTGTCCCATTGAAAAAACATATGTTCAACCAAGCAATCAGTTTTGCAATCTCCTTGGGGAACCCCCACCCCAGGTTTCATGTTTTGGTTTGGAACTATTTTTCCGAATAGGTTTTTTTGTTTCTGTAGGGGACTGAATGTACGAATAGGTTTTAGCTATCCCCACACAACCTGCGCCGAATCGCCCTTCTTTTCTAGCGCAGGAACGCGGCGAGCCCAGGCGGGGGCTGAGCCTGCGCAAACCCAAGGCAAGCTGAAATTCAGGGGTCCGAAAGGAGAGGATGATTCTAGGGGTACCTTCCAATTCCCCATTCTTGCCGGGCTTTTTGCTTTTCCGCAAAGGGCAGCGGTATGGATTTCCATTATGGATTTGGTCCGCCCAGGGTATGTTGAAGACTCCAACAATCTAGGGGTACCTTCCAATTCCCCATTCTTGCCGGGCTTTTTGCTTTTCCGCAAAGGGCAGCGGTATGGATTTCCATTATGGATTTGGTCCGCCCAGGGTATGTTGAAGACTCCAACAATCTAGGGGTACCTTCCAATTCCCCATTCTTGCCGCTTTTGCTTTTCCGCAAAGGGCAGCGGTATGGATTTCCATTCTGGTCGCCCAGGGTATATTTGAAGACTCCAACAATCCAGGGGTACCTTCCAATTCCCCATTCTTGCCGGCTTTTTGCTTTTCCGCAAAGGGCAGCGGTATGGATTTCCATTATGGATTTGGTCCGCCCAGGGTATGTTGAAGACTCCAACAATTAGGGGTACCTTCCAATTCCCCATTCTTGCCGGGCTTTTGCTTTTCCGCAAAGGGCAGCGGTATGGATTTCCATTATGGATTTGGTCCGCCCAGGGTATGTTGAAGACTCCAACAATCTAGGGGTACCTTCCAATTCCCCATTCTTGCCGGCTTTTTGCTTTTCCGCAAAGGGCAGCGGTATGGATTTCCATTCTGGATTTGGTCCGCCCAGGGTATGTTGAAGACTCCAACAATCCAGGGGTACCTTCCAATTCCCCATTCTTGCCGGGCTTTTTGCTTTTCCGCAAAGGGCAGCGGTATGGATTTCCATTATGGATTTGGTCCGCCCAGGGTATGTTGAAGACTCCAACAATCTAGGGGTACCTTCCAATTCTCCGTTCTTGCCGGGCTTTTTGCTTTTCCGCAAAGGGCAGCGGTATGGATTTCCATTATGGATTTGGTCCGCCCAGGGTATGTTGAAGACTCCAACAATCCAGGGGTAACTTCCAATTCCCCACACTTTCCAGGGATCCGAATTTCTTTCTAGAAAACCACCCAAAACCCTGGGGGAATAGCGATTGGTTTTTGAAAAGCGGGAATCAACCCCTATGATGCATACTCGTATTCATAAACCAACCGTAGGGGTGTTGCCATGGTTTGCCCTTGATGGGAAGCACGGCGAGAAAAGCAGCTCATTCATAACATTGTCGTTCGCAAAGAGGTATAGTTACAAATCACAGGCAAAGCCATGCTACCGGTGGCCTGAAATTTGTAGAGCTTTGTCTAGATATCCTCATGATGAGTGAGAGAGCGAGAGAGAGAGAGAGAGAACAAACAAAAAAAGAAGAAGAACAAAAACGACCGACTCCGCGCCATCCGTGTCAGAATGCGGACAACACCTCTACGATTTGCCAGCTCCAGCAGTGACATGATGTGCTGGACAAATCAGTTGGTTCCTAGCCTTCTAGGGGCCCTTGTAGATGGTTGTCTTTCAAAATTGCATGGATCATTGAAGTTGGTTTGATGAACACTGCAAGGAGACTTGGCTTCGAATACAATCACTCACCTCTCTAGTTGCCCAGTTTCGCAGATTCCATGGCCCAAATACCTGTATTCATGCTGTTCAACCCTGGGTCCAAGCCAAGATGCGGACAGCATATATGCAGCGTACAACAAACTAGCATGGGCCACGGAGAAATCTTGATGCTGAGGCTGTTGGCAAGCCACGTGATTCCACCCACTCGGGCTACTTGTAAGGGTTGCCTCATTAGGCTTTTGATTTGGAAAGGTTTGGACCTCATTAGGCTTTTGAGGTCAAGATTGTGAAGGCAAGCACCCGGGGATTTCGCGGATAGTGAGATTAGATTAGATAGATTAGATTGTAGTAGGTCAGATACAATAGATGAGATAGATGAACGGACGGACGCATGAACGGATGGATGGATCGATGGACAGTGGCCAGACAGATTAGATACATTGGATGTATTAGATACATTAGATACATCACATAGATTAGCTGTAATAGAAAGAGTAGAAAGAGTAGATAGATAGATCTATAGATAGATAGATAGTTAGATAGATAGATAGATAGATAGATAAATAGATAGATAGATAGAAAACAATACAGACAGAAAGAAAGAAGAAAGAAAGACATAAATAAATATGGATAGATAGATAGGTATACAGCCAGACGGATAGATATCTAGGTGGGAAGACAGAACGAAGACACAAAAATAACAAGAACAAAAGTCACATCAAGATAACAGTACATAATGATAAGGGGGGGGGGTTAATATAAAGAGAAAAACAACATGATATATATATATACATGTATATATCATAAGAAATAGAGTGATAACAAATGTCGATAAAATATAAAGCGGCGAGAAGGAGCGAGAGAAAGAGAGTGACACAAAGAGAAATATGTAAATATAAAGAACACATATAATGATGAAGAAGACAAACACAAGGAACAACAGAACTGAGAAATAGCTGTATGTGATACATACATTGAAAGTTCCGCCCGCCGGCCCCTGGTCAGATTGGCGAAAACAAGGGCCAAGTTACCAGGAGCCCAGAATGAAATCAACCTGCCACCCGAGTTTGTACGCATACTTTGTGAGAGTACCCTTTTCAGCTTTATTACTGGCAAAGCAAAAGACACACACACACACACCAACCACCAGGGCACCGGTACGCCACCAAAGCAACTCTATACTCATGAGTCACTATGTCGTGGAAGCTTGCTTACGCGCAAAATAGCACTCCATGGTTTGCCTTATGCTGCTGTCAGCGCGCCTACGCTTCGGCGGTTTGAGCAATGTCCTGAAGAAATGCTTGGCTCCTTTTCAAGATAGCGTGGATGACACTGAGGAGGAAGTTGATGAACAATTGCTCTTAGTTGGATCAACTCGGCGCTGTTGGTCTTTTCGGTCGCTCTGTAGCCCTCCTGCTCCGCGCTTTCGATTTGGCCGACAACTTGGCCTGTTGCCTTCACTGGCCAAAGAGCTGCTTTTGGGATTCAACACTCCGGGTGTTCGGTTGGTTGTTGAGTCCCAGTCTTGGGACATGGCATTCTGGTGGTTGGGTATTGGGACATCCTGGTGAGCAGTCTAGAAATCCCGTTTACATGCCAAGCAAGAGTTGTGTCATGGCAAAGCAGCGCGCAAGCAAAACCCTGAACGGCTTGAGCACCTTTTGGGGAAACATGCGGCGTAAGCGCCCGCGCAAGCCTTCCTTCCTGACTGGCAAAAGTTGTGGAATGCCAGGGGCTTAGCCGTTGGATTGTCAAAGCAGTGTTACCGAACAGCAGGTGCAGCAAAACTAAGGGGTCCAGGCATAGCTGTCCTTTTTGGAAAATAGATGGCCCTGGTTGATTGAACCACCAGGTCAGGTAAACCAGGGCCTTCTATTTCTAAAGCAAAACTATGGGTCCAATCAGGGCCCAGGGCCTTCTATTTTTTTGTTTTGGTCCAACCAGTTGTCAAAAAACAAACACTTTCTAAAGCAAAACGACAAAAAAGGACACCTATGGGTCCAGGGCGCCTAAGGTTTGCGTACGCCCACGGCTGCCCTGCGCCCAGCCTCCCACTTGCTCCAATCCTCTCGCACGCAGGAGTCGAAGGGATCGCCTGCAGTGGATCCATTGCTTGCATGCGCCAATCCAATCTGCCAGATCTGGACGGGTGTGCCCATTTGCAAAGACCTAAGAAAGGATTGAGCTTTTGGGGATCATGACAAACAACGCCTTGCAAACCAAGAGATCGAAAGTCCCACTCGACTTGGGCACGGCGTGGTCGTTGGTCATTGGTGCTTCGGGTTCCTTGGCCTGGCTTGGACATCTCCCATTTTCTCATTTGCTCGTTTGTACATGGTAAAACGAGACAACCCACAAGTTAGAGGAACACCCACAAGTGTTAGTTCCAGTGGGCTTTGGCAATTGAGCACTTCACCCTCCGTGAACCAGAACACAACCAACCAAAAGCAGCAACCAACCCTTCGCCGACAAAACCCACGGAACAAGCCGATCCGTCATTTCATGTCTTACACAAATGCGTTTCTACACATGGGTGTCCCACTCTCCTACCCCATTCAAACTAAGGGTAATTAAGGCTTAACATGGCTTAACTTCTATTCCTCTTCAACCATCCCAAAAAGTGTTTCATCTGTTGTCCGCAAATTTATGTTTGAATCACGCAATCCTGAGGGGGCCTGTCTTCCCTTCTTAGCAGGACCTTTCGATGTTTTGCGACACGTAGGTGTTTCTGAATATCGGACCCCTTTCTCACGAATATGCTTCATGGTTTCCTGTAAACTCCAACAAGGGGAGTTTCAACATCACCCTTTGACCCATTAGACGCCAGTGTTTTCTTTCTTGAAATGGCTACTAGGGCAAACTGCAATAATGCACAAACAAAACTAAGGAAACCGTATGAAAGGAACCTTCATTGCTGATGACATCACCCTCTCCCCCAAAACGTGACGGCGCTAGGGATTCGGATAACCAGCAAATAATGTACATTTGGCCTATCTTTTTAAATCTATATACATCATTATATATATATATACAAATAATTATGTATGGTTATAGAATCAAACCAAATGGCTGTGCCAAATAAATTTGCTACACAGGTATGCTCAAAAGGGGTCACGCGCTGGGGCCCACGCTTCGTTTGGCTGCCTCCCAAAGCTTCTGTGACACCTTCTGGTCCCCCCAGTCCTGGCCGAAAGTTGGCGCCAACTGCACCCCCCTTTTGGATGGGATACCAAAAACTATTCAAAGGAAAACTAATTAAAGGAAGCCAGGCGCCATGGAACCCAAAAAACAAAGGAACCTAAAGGAAGCCAAAGGCAAGCCAGAGGCAAGCCAAAGGGAACAGAAAACCATTGAAAGCAATCCTCTAGAGGGACCGAGCCGAGTTTTTAGACACGTATGGCGCCTTGCATAGCGCGAGGCTTGATTAAGAGTTGCAAAGCAGTCGCAGTAAAAGCCAGCAGTACGGTACCCACTCCTAGCTGGAACTTCCACCCTAAAAACAGAATCCAAAGGTCGATATCCGCACCTGTTTTTCAAGAAAACTGTCCCACCATTAACTTACCCGGGTGTGAATTGTGGCTCAAGGAGTTTGACCCAGGTTCCACCATGCCCAGCATACCCACTACTCACAACACAGAATTCATGGTTCCCGATGGGCCGCGTGCTTCTCGGCAAGATTTTGCGGCGTGAAAGTCCATGTGCTGCAAACCTGTTGGCTATCCATCTCTGAGTTGGGATCTGTGGGATCAACGGGACCGGCCCTCAATGACCGATGCAAGCTCCGGCGGCTAGTGTCTGGGTAAAACAAACAAAGCTACACACAAAGGCCACTTGATTTTAGACAGCCACCTGAAGTTCTTGCAAAATCGTGATCTTTCGCCCGAGGAGCCCCATGCCCCCCCCACCCCCCTTTCCCTTTGGGTCCCACAAGAAACCCTTAACCGCGGTGCTGGTCGCCCCTGGGCATCCAATGCCCAACCCTTTACAAACCAAGTACGGTATCTGGAGAGTCACTGATTTTGGAAAGCACGGCGTTTCTGACTTCCGAACTTTCGCATATGTTGCAAGGCCGGATTGGTAGAAGCATCATCCACAAGGTGTTTCTAGTTGCACAAAGTGTACTCCAGGTGTTGAAGCAAGTAGCAGCCCCCCGCCCTCTTTTTACAGGGTCTATGTCCGAGTCACCTTCAGCCAGGAGGCGATGTCGCAAAGCTCCCAGGCATTGTGCGTTGCCTGGCGAAAGAATCACCAGCAAACGTATTTCTGGCGTTGGGGGAAAACCCTAGGGCCCCCACACCCACCCCAGCCTGAAAGAATTCTTAGAACCTTAGGGGTTCTTAGAAGCGTTCTGAGAGCCTTTCTGGGAGGGGGGCCCTAATTTCTCTCCTGAAAGGGGGATACACCTGAAAAGCCGTGACCGCTGTGAAGCAGCAAATACTCGTTACAAAGGACAGCTTGGTGACACCCCAAAAACCGGGGCGCAAGGCCGCTGCGGAGTTTGGAAGCAGTAGCCTTATCCGCAGGCCACCAAAGAAGATTCAACGCCTGGTCACAGTCAACATGTGAGGATCGCGGAAACGCAGAAATCCCAGCTAATGACAGCGCGCAGAAGTCATGGGCCACCAGATGCTAAAGTTCTGGTCATTGGCCTTGAGAAGGGAGACGACTTCAACATGAACCAACCGTCAGCGGTGGTCAAACAGCATTGGCAGCCACAAGCCGTTGGCAGTCCATTGCTGTCGTGAAGGTTTCTGCAAGGGCTGCAGCTGTTGAATCACTGGTTGACGTGGGTGCGAACTCTTGCACTACTTACACGCGGTCCCAACCGTGCTTCCCCATGTAATCACCAGATCATGGAAGACCAAACAGAGGTCTTTTTCAGCACCCGGAAGCTGATCGGAACGATCATAGACAAGTGTTGCTTGATGTGAGGTGGTGGCATTAAACGCGAAACCCGCATGAAATCGCAACGTACGCCTTACTCATTGCTGAGGTGCGTGTGAGAAAGGCCAGAAACCGCATGGGTGTCTTGAATGAAATTGTCTAGAGAGCAAGCCTCTTCACACACCGTGCCCAATGGAATCGAAAAATCTAAAACTATTGGGCAGGCATGCCCGAAACAAATAGGAGGATCACTTCCACCTTTCAGATGTTGCATCCAGATGTCAAACAGTAGCGCAACATGTCGAAAAGGAGAGATAAAATAACTCCAACACTTCAGGGGGCATTCATGCTTCAGAAAGCTTGCCTTGAAAGAACATCCCTTCCCTCAAACACACTTGAAGCTAGGGCATTGTATCTTCGTGAGCTTACGCTATCTGCGTCAAAGCTTCACACAATTGTAGGGCATGACAATGGTGCTTATGGCTGCTTCTGGTCCCTTCATAAGAGCCATCATGATGTTTGCCTAAGCACTTCGGATCGGCACTTTGCTTGGTTGCCAAGTCCAAATAATGTTGACCCCAGATCAGTCAACCCAGATTAATCAATCCCTGCTTATTACTCTGGGGGTGCTTTGCCCTGGGTTTAGTGGGGATTCAGACCACTTTGGGAGGGGCAGACTGGTTAGTTGATTGAGATGGGGTCCACATTAAGTCGGATCAGGACTGTGATTTTAGTGGCAATCAAGAAAAACACTAGGATTAATTATGTAGCGGTGTGTTCCAACTAGGGGCTTTTGTGAATATTGTCTCCTGTCAACACTACCCTCTAGATGTGTTGCGCGAAGAAAATGGAGTCTCTGCCAAGGCCAAGCTAAACAGGAGCAAAAATGGTGACAAGTAATCAACAATCTGCAAACAGCAAGTAATTAGAGTGCAGGCCTGCTGACAATCCCCATGTGAAGGCGTGTCTTGACCATGGCGCATGCAAGTCCTGAAAACTAATCCTTGCAAACGTATGCAGAAAACTGTCAGTCTCCAAAGCAGGCCGGTAGGTGTGCCAGTTTGTCCGACGACGCAAACAACGAAACAAGAAACCTGGCCATGCTGAAAACGCAGCTGAGCCAAACAGCACGGAAAGACTCCATTAAAAGTTATTACGCATCTGGCTGAACAAAAGCTATAGTGTCAATTCGCTGATCACATTGGGGACACCCTGTGTTTCACCCCCAGCCTGCTTTTTGGCCCATAAAACCGGCCAAAAACGGAGGTCCAAAAACAGGACGGTCGGGTTTCCCGAGTCCCGTGATCAGCCACCTCAAAGAAGGGGAGGAGAGACTTGGCGAGATTCTTCAGGATCTTGCCGCTCGCCTTCGCGCGAAATTGTCGCCCGTCTCTGGGAACTCCCCAAAGCTTGCATCGGGGCCTGCGACAGTTGTTTAGACGAGTGACAGTAGGGTGAAACGGCAAGCCTTCATTGGTTGCCAAGCGCGGACTAACACGGAACCATCCCAAGAAATCGGACAATGAGTTGAGACTCCGATTTACGATGTTGAAGGCGAATTTCCCCAAGAACGCCTAGCACTTGCGTCTCTTCTAGGTTACAACAATTCACCCACCTGATGTAGGTGAGGTTGCAAAACCTAGCAACGGTGCCTTCCAGAACGAATCAACAGGTCACATCATAGCGCCGCAGGACACATGCAAATAAACTTTAAGAGTTCGGTTTTGCCGAAAATTCTGGAAACAAATGGACAAGAGCCGTGATCCTGAGTGATCGGTCTTTCTGAAGACAACGACATTAGGACTAGGACCAGCCTCGAATCTGAAGCATCACGAAGGCCAATGAAGATAATAAATATTCGGACTCCTTGCAGGTTGATCCATGGCCTTCCGATCCGAAGCCAGAGGGCTTCGCTGATTTCACCCTTCTGGCTGACAAAGGGGTAGATGGATCCTTGGAAAAAGCTTTGGGTCCAATTTGCTGGTTGGCGAACCGAAAATTGCCGCTACTAAGTAAGGGATAATTTCCAGACATGCATTCTGTGTGGTTTTCCCTCACAAAGCGACTGGCGGCTGGTTTTGGCCACTGGATTTTGTCTTCTCATGTCCTCTCACCTTCAGTCCCGGCCTGTGCCCCCCGCTCGTTCAGCGCGTTTTTCCAGAGAAGATAGACCTGCACAGCTCGCATGGAATAGCAACGCTTCAGAACCTGGGTGCTGCCAACGTGCCATGGGGTTCCGAGCCCCGACGACAACGTGGTTTGCACAAACTGAGAGTCTCCGAGGACTAGAACTAGTGATACGGGGTAAGGGGTTGGGACCACCCCAGAAAATTGATGAAGAAAGCTAGAGTGGCCCCTGTTGTATTGTCAATGCTAACTTCAGGGAGATTGATTCTTGCAGGGACCTAGTCACTATTAAGCTCAGCCGAGTCAAGTACTAGCATCGCACCGAAGCATAACATTAGTACCACAGTGAGTTCCACAAGCTTTTACTGCATGGCGGTTGTCTTTCGTTGCTTTTGTGCTTCCCCTCCTTTGCTCTGCTTTACTTTATTCTTTGAGTCCTACGCAAAACCGAAAAATAAAACAAGTAAACAAATGGGGTGTGTCTGCACAACTTGTCGAAACTGCGCCAACTGCGCCAGATTCGTTGGACGTGTCTTGACAAATGCATCTTGGGCCTGCCACGCTCGGCCCAGGCTTTGGGCTGCGGCCATTTTGTTTTGACCTTTGCTGAAGGATTGAACTGTGTCGGCAATTTCAAAAGAATCTCCCACCGCCAAATATTGTAAGAGAATGCCGTTCATTCAAATGCTACTTATAAAAAATACTAATTAGGAACAATTGAAGTAATGGCTCAGGTTCAAGCATGTTTGAAACATCAGATCAATTTGGACTTCACAATTGTTTGCTCTGGCAGATCCGAGCGAGCGGACAAGAGGTGTGCAAGAGTCGCGGTTGGATCCAATGGCAAAGCCACAATCTGTATCACGTCGCGATGCAGGGTATTTTTGATGCCGCCCTTAGAATCTTGGAGCCTCCAAAAGAACTGTTGGAGCTCCAAACTTCAAGTCCTTGCAGAGATTCTAACCCAATGAAGGGTTCAATGATGCTTAAGTTTGCACAATAAAAGGATGGTACAAACAACAAAGGAAAAAATGGTTGGTGTCCGGGGCACGGTTTCAAAATGCTTAGCATTGCAGCGCTGCTTAGACATAGTGTTAACCTGCTGCACATCACACAAGTGGAAAACAGCAACATGTTGCACAAAAACAAATGTTTCAAATTCGGACTCGGGCGTGGGCGCTGGGGCGCCTTAGTTTGTCCTTGTCGCATAAGGGTCCCAAAAGCGACTGTCTTCTTTTGGAATAGCCTTCTACCCAAGAGAGTGAACAGGTGCGCAAAGCTCTTTAAACGCAACAAATTGCTCAAGGCTCCAACTGCTTCAGATTGTTCGAAATAACTACAACATAGTCAATTGCTGTCGACAGTACTTGAAGCAAGTCAAAGGAAGCGTTAGCAGCCGAGGCCAGAGAAAATGTTTTCATCCCAACCAGCTCGGAGATCTTACCGGGCCAAGGACGAAAAGAACAGGTCCGGTATTCCCCTGCACTGCAAACTGCCATGAAACCTCACGAGCCCCAGATCCCAGATCCCAACTCATTACTCCAATTAAGGATCCGTCTGATAAGCTTTTCGAGGTCCAAAGCAGTTGAACGAAGTTGGTCGCTGGCAGAACCAGCTTGCCTGGTATAAGGCCGCGGAATCCGCTGCGCGCGACGCTGCGCGAGTGGAGAGCGAGATGCCTGGCGTGTGCCCTGTGACGGTCCCAGCAAAGCCACATGTAGACATGGTCACAACTTCCTATGTGAGACACGGTCAACACCGCAAATTTAGTAAGCCCCCAAGATTTTGTGGAGATTTTGCAAGTCCCTCAATACCCCTGCCACATGGACAATATGGACAGTTTGACCGAACCATGGCGCAAACTGTCCAAACTTTGCTCTACTTCGTTGCTACAACTCTTAAAACCTGGACAGTGGCGCGTTGCATGGCTAAAGCATCCCTACAGGCGTAGTGTATCCACCAACTACCAAGGACTACACGACAAAGAGCCCACAGGAGAGCAGCCGAGACCACAGGCAATATCGTCCATTTGCTTTTTCGTCCCCTGGAAAAAAATCCAGTGGTGATAGATTCCCATTAAAACCAAAAAACAAATCCTTTAAGCAAATGGAAGATATCCGAAATCCTCTTTGCCGAGCTGGCTCAACACTCCATCCCTCACTCCCACAGGCGTTGAAGCCTGGGGCGGCCCGAGGCCACACACAGGGGCGGGTCATAGCGAAAAGCGAAACGCGCCACAATTCCTTCAGCCAACTGTGAGGTGGTGATCAAAAGCAAAGTACTGCGCTTTGACGCCTAAGGCCTGCGTTCTAAAACTTATAGCCCCCAAGCCCAGCTCAAAGAATCCAAACAGAGCACTGTCACTGTCGCCAAAATATGCGAACCGGATCTGTCCAGATTCATGGCAGGACTCGCTATTGCAACACTGCAACAAGAAGAAGGACTTTCTCCACCGCCGCCAATGTGGTGCCTTGCGAAGCGCACAAACAGCTCAATCCGGCTGCAAGACAATCCGAAAACAGAGACCACTCAACTCCAGGTCGGAGAACCAGCATCGGACCATCACCGTCAACATTGACAAACGCTTCCCGGCAGCAGGCACGCCGTACACGCAGCGGCGCAGCGCGGCGTTCTTCATCCAGATCAACGATATATACTTGCTGCGACAGAGGTCAATAATGATGGCCGCAGTGATGTCCAGTGCATTGTGTTTCGCCCTCCTAGCAGGAAATGACAAAGTTGCAACCGGTCAAGGGAAGCATCAACCACCATGGTGACAGGCAAGCCCTGCACAACCCGGGCCGTAAGTGCCCTCCACCTACACTGTGCTGCCCAGAAAAAAAAAAACACTTCCATTCTGAGGGTGACCATCCCTGCGAAACCCAAAGGTCTTTTTCTCACCGTGGCACGAGAGAAATGCTCAATATCTACCATCATCTACTGTAGGAAAGGGGATGACATCGGATTTGACAAAAGTGTTTACTGACTGAAATGCAAAGTCAGTTGGGGACATGGATATTGACCACGCCTCACATGCAACAAGCATGCATAAGGCTGCCAGAGATTGACTTTGTTGCAAGTCACCGCAGGTAGGTTAGCAAGAAACCATCCTGACTTTGACATCCCCTCAAACCACGTGGTCTAATTGACGTGCTCAACATCGCCCCACCATTGTCAGAAATCTTGTTTTTTTGAGAGGCCCCCCATCAAGGCTGAAATAGTTGACCTTCCTCCACCGATGGCCAAACTTCTTTCCCGAGCTCAAGACTGCCTCCAAATGAACCCGTTGTTGTTGCTGCTTCCTGAAGCAAACGTGGACCCTAGCAAAAACGTCTTATTGGACGACCTCCAATATAGAAATGGCTTCCTCGCATGCCCATTTCTTTGGTGGCATGTTGCGAGCGGTTCAGCGTGCAAGTGAAGATGTTGAAACCATTGTTCAACAGGACAATTTCAACATGTTTGGACCCGGGCGCCTTTGAGACAAGTTGGGTCAAGCTTAAACTATTGTCGTATTGAAGCTGGTTTGTTGTTTCAACCGAAGGGGCGCAACAGCCGCAGCCTTCCTTTCACCCAAGCATAAAACCAGATCTCCGGTATTCGCAAACAACCGGTCCCCTTTCCAAACAAGATGCGAACATACTGACGGAACCATGTCACTGCGGAATTTGGGGATCGCATCGGCCTGCCGCTAGGTCAGCGGCCCGCGACATAGACTGAAACGCCATTTCAGCTTGGCCTCGCGCTTCGCGAGTGAACGAACATATTTCCCGCGGACGTCATTCCTGGAAACACTTCTAAACATAATCTAAAGGATGCCCCAGCAGTCACTCCAGTGGGATGCCCCAATCACAATTCACCTACTGGACTACTGGAAAACAGGGATCGCGCCGAAAGAATGTACTTTGACCTTCAGCACCGAGCCAAGCTTGATTTACACGTGCTCGGCAAGCTCGGCGTGATGTGATAGATCAAAACCAAGGCAACAGAATCTGCAACTCAAAGCAAAGCGGGAACCGACAAACAAGTGTCTGCAAACTGAAAGCACGGCAAACACCGCAAAAAAGGATGGCCCAAGTCTCAAGCAAAAATTGCAAAAGAAACCAACAACCATCTCAAATGAGGAGGAGCGGTAGTTGGTGACAGGACCAGGGACAAAAGATGATCCTCTTTGATAAAACTGAAAATGACCCAAACACGGGTTTTCCAGCAAGCGTTAGGGCGTGCAGCAGGACGAAGGGCAGCAAGGCAATTCCAGCTAACAAGTCCCCCCGTTCTGTGGGTGTTGTGTAGGGTTCATAAGGCATTAACTTTAAGTTGGATGCTCCGAAAACGCGGTGAACAAGGGTCCAAGAAAAACGCTGAGAGACGCCAAAACAAGCTAACCCAATGTCTACCAACTTCAGGTTTGGCCAATGTCTCCATGGTTCCCGTTGGCGCAAAGCCGCGTCCATCCTTGCTCCCAGTAACAGTCGTTTAAGGAAAGGGGAGTGCCAGAGATGGGTTTGCACATGTTCCAATAATCCCAATGACCCCCGAGAAAAGAATCGCTTTCGCACGTGTTCGCCCATGGAATTGGCCCACATCGAGGCAACTCCTCAAAGCATAGTTTCCGGTTTCATACTCAATTGACCCTAACAAATAAGCCAGTGGATGCGACCCACCATTATTAGGTAGATAGGCAGCCATTATCCTTTGAGTTTTCACAGTGTGGTTCCCTCAGTTGCCTATGTGTGTAGCCAAATATAACCAACCAACCAAACTGGGCTGTCCTCAAATCCCCGAAAATTTTAACTTTTGGTGGTTAAAATGGACATCCACACAAAACACCAAAAAGCTAAGGGGATGTCTGGGAGCCACCAACCAAACAAGTTCTGGGAAACATATTGTTGCGGCTCAAAAAAGTGGCATCAACCTTTGGGCCCCTTCCCTTGGATGGAAACAAAAGTCAACACCTGCGTAACCTCAGCTCTTTAATTTTGAGCCACACCCATCTATGGCCATGGGTCAAAAATCGTACTCATGTGAACATCCCAATCCAACCACTAAAATAAAGCCTACGAGTGGTGAATCCACCTATCAACCAAAATGGTATCCAAAACGGCTTTGAACCATGTCCATGCCTATTTTAGTGGGGATGGGGATGTTCACTGGGCGTACGAATTGGGTTTTGAGCCTTTTGTTAGAGTTAGGCCCAGTTATAGAATGTATGTCTTATTGTTTGCTTCACGTGGAGTCACTGGCAAAATGTAGGATGTATCCTAAGTCTACCCCAGCTTCGGAGAAAGCAAAAGGCTTTCACACAGGTCCCATGCTCAAAAAGCTTACAACTGGCATTCGCGCCCATATATGTTCCTTCTTCGGCGACAGCGCACGGAGCTCGACGGGTTAAGGCCTCGTTGCTGCTGCACGCGCCCCCGGCTCAGCACCACCACCGGGTCCTCTGGCCTGGAGACTCGCCCGCGGGCGCCGAGTTTTCCTTGGGGTAACCCAAGCAACCCACGTGGCCAGCTGTCTTTAACGGCCACAACCACATGGCTGTGGCTCAAAAAACCGGTACCAAAATGGAACCCTGGTAAATGGAAACATGGACGAACACCTGCGTAACCCCTCCTGTTTAATTCTGAGCCGCAGCCACATGGTCGTTTTCTGTGATATGAGAAACAAAAAATAACACATTCAAAAAACCGTCAGCTCACAGACAAGCTGGCCGGAGGTTCCAAGTCAGGAAAGGCAGAGCCAGTTGAGGGACCCGGGAGAAAGGTTGGACCGCGCGACAACAAATCAACAAATCCCCGTTTGCTTTCGCTTTGGCAACAATCAAGCATGTGGGCCACGTAGCACCCAAAAAGTAAGCAACCATGGCTGTGGGGGGCCGCTTCTGCCTCTTGGAAATGGTAGTTTGGGTACCCTCCAAGCCAAGTATGTGCAGCAACAGACCTTTTGTGCCTGGTGGGGCTTCCATGTAGTCTGAAAAAACACCCACATGGCTCTTTGAAATGGCCGTGAACTTGAATTCAGGACCTTTGGTGGACATGATTCACAGCGTGGACCAAATTGTTGCACAGGAATCCAGGCTCTAGGCGGAACCCCTCTGCGCCCCGGGAGCTTTTGGGCACCGGTGTCGGACTTGGCCCCCGGCGCCAAAGCCTCCGCCTTCCGCAGCTGCAGCTCGGCGGCCTCGCTGCGGTCCCACAAAGGGTGTAGACGGGGCACTTGGACGCAACATTGACTCGCAACATATGAGGACGTCAAACGTCACACAAGAAAACCAAGAACATGATCACCAATGTCCAGCAGAACAACTGGACACTTCAGACGAAACCATCCAGCTTGTTGTTGTGTTCTTTCGACTCCCTCCTCAGATGACTGGCCCCATATCTACTGACAGCGCAAACCAAGCCTGGAATACAAACTTTCAAACAACTGTAACCCGTGGACAGTGGTCAACTCAGTTTCTTTAGCTCATTTGAGTGGCGTTGCATGGACAAATATGTGATGCACACACGGAAAAACAAAATGGTTGTTGATTGCCCGCTTGAACACAGTATACAAGTATTGAAACTAGCACCCAAAAAAAAGGCAATGAAAATGGGAGCCACCAAACATCTGGAACATGTTGACGTGCCAATTTGTTTGGCTATCCAGGAATCAAAGGTAACGAATTGCGTGGGAGAAAACCATCATGGCCAAATCCACTGGCGTTGAAGACTCCCCCACCCCCGAATAGAATCCCACCCCTGAAAGCTGAGAGAAAAAAACGGGGCGCTACAGTAGCCCTCGAAGGGTCTCGTTTCTACACTTTCTTTTTGCTTGATGAATGGCCCTCATCTGCTCTGCCTGAAACGAGGTCAAAGGGTAAGTCCCAGTTTCAAGGGCAGATCCATCAGCGACACCGCGCCTGCAGAAAGAGACCGTTGGCGCTGGCTGCGGCCTCGGCCGCCAATAGCCTGGGGCCTATGCCAGACCCGTAGGTTTCCTTTGGGGGTTCCTGTAAAACCGTCCAACAAGGGCCCCACCTTCTTATCCAGCAAGAGCAATGTCGAGTGCTGATCTGATGTATGGGGCAACAAACAATGATGATGATTTTCTGCTTCACTCAACCCGAAGAACGCGCGACAGGTTCAAACAGATATGGGATAACTGGAAGCAAAAGTACTGGCTGCCATCTAACCAACATTGCCCAGTGTCTCAGCCTATTTGCTCAGCAGATTGCCGCCTTCTCACCCTGAAAACCTGCGGTGTAGACTGAGAAACCAAACACGTAGGACTTTCCTAAACAGGGGAGCGTCTTTTTGACCTCATTATTTGAGGCCCTTGGGGGTTCAAGGCACTCATATTTCGGGAATTGGGCTCCTAGGCTTTGTATTTTGTTTGTGAGAAAGCCACACAGGAAGCAGAAATAGGGACCCTCGGAGTCAAGCTTAAGATTCGCTCCGGGTGCCCGAGCAAACAAAAAGGTGCGTGTGTCTCAAATAAGGAGACCCCCCAGAAAACAAGTTTCTGCTTAAACCAAGCTGAAGGTGTACACTCAACACAACACACATTCATCCAACCAAACACATGCGTTTCGTGTTGGCAAACAGATGCACAGTATTGCATAGTGCTACACAACATGCGGTTTGCACACGCGGCACAGTGCGGCAATCTCCGTTCTGTGTGTGTGTGTGTGTGCGGCCTCAAATCTTTGGCATGGACTCTGAGGCTATGGCTATTTGGCTGGGAAACATCATGAGTTCAGTTTGGGCACCTAAGGCCGTGGCGTGTGTGCGTGCGCGTGTGCAAGTGTGTGCGTGTGCGTGTGCGTGCTGCGCGTGCGCGTGCGTGTCTGCGTGTCTGTGTGTCTGTGTGTCTGTGTGTCTGTGTGTCTGTGTGTCTGTGTGTCTGTGTGTGTCTGTGTGTCTGTGTGTCTGTGTGTCTGTGTGTCTGTGTGTCTGCGTGTCTGCGTGTCTGTGTGTTTGCGTGTCTGTGTGTCTGTGTGTGTGTCTGTGTGTGTCTGTGTGTGTCTGTGTGTGTGTCTGTGTGTGTCTGTGTGTGTCTGTGTGTCTGTGTGTCTGTGTGTCCTGTGTGTCTGTGTGTCTGTGTGTCTGTGCGTGTCCGTGTCTGTGTCCGTGTCTGTTTGTGTGTGTTTTGGTTTGTGTACAACCCACCACCTGCGCCTAACCAAAAACCGGTGATCTCCCCCCCGGAAAATACCGTGCTTTGCAAAGGCAAGCTGTCTTGAAAGCACAAAACATGACGCGCCTACTGTACTTCAATGAATCATCTTTCGGCTTGCCTGTCTCTACAGCCCTTTCCGAGTTGCTTCTTGGGCATCTACCATCTCTGTAGCCTTCCTTCCACTTACGTAGCGTGAGGATACATGATTTAAAACATGTTCTTGAAGGGACGTGTGACGTGCGTAATTTGAGGGGCCAACAAGTTACAAAACAACTTATCCTGTGACTCATGCCCCACACGCCACTCTGGGAAAGCAAAGCGGGAGAAGGAACCCCAACAAAAATAGTTGTTGCATGGGGTACGTGGGAAAAGCCCGCCCATATCACTTTCGCCGTATCCTTTGGTGGCTCTACTCCCATCTGAGCATCCATGCCCGGGCCAAGCCTCTTGCTGCGGGCGCTTGGACCCTGGCAAGGCGGGTGAGAGAATGCTCGCGGCGGCAGATTTTTGGTTCTGAGCGGTTTCCGGGGGAAGCACTGGGCCATGAACGGGTTCGCCTCAAGGATACATGCTGGCCGCAAAATTTAGCAGTTGCCAGCTGAACTGTTCTTGCACCCCCTGGGCTGTCCTTGGGACAATGCCTTGTTTCAACTACCTCCGTTCCCCTTTCAATGTCACAGAAGTGACACCCCAGCTGCCAAAAAGCGAAAACTCCCATGGGGTCCAGAACGGATCCCACTATGCGATCCCACAGCGCAGAGACTCTTGCCCCACATCAAAATTCGCCCTATGCCGTCCTAAATCCTTGGGACGGAGCGCCAACTGAGCCAGGTGCACAAGCTCAACATGGCTTCAAGCGGCCGTGTGCTAACTCAAACCGATTTGAAGTGCCTTGCTTGTATACTTCAGTCCGTGACTGATACTGCCGGACCGCCCTTCTTACAAAACAGGTCGCAAAAGCAGTTTCCTAAACTCTGCATTCACCCTTTGAGTAACAGGCGCATCAGTTCATGAAAGGGTACGCTGAGGGCACTGGTCGCATATATATATACATATATATATATGTACAAACAACAATAGCAGTTGCAACGCTTTGCAAAGTCCTGCGTCCAGACATCGGCTTCACAAGTAACTTGCTTGCAGTGTGACCCAAAGTCTTTGGCCCCGAAGGATATGAGCCCAACTCGGTTGCTTTCTGCTCCCCGGCTAAAAGATCAACTTCTAGTGGTTTCATGGAAAATCCATTAGTTGGCAAACAGATAAAGTCCTAACTTAACATCCAAGCAAAATGCATCAAAACCAAGTCAGGTTGCATGGGTCTCGGACAGGTCGGGACATTCAGATCATCTAGCTAACCCATGCCAGCAGCGCCCTTCCAGCCAAGGCTCCCAAGCTACCTTGGGGCGGCCAGAGAGGCATAATATTGGACGGGGGAAAGCGGCTGAGCTGAGCTTGGGGTTCTCTTTTGATTGAAATGTGGACAAAGCTTTGGGCAATGGACAAGCTGGACTAATAACGCTTTAAACAAATACGTTGCAGCCTCATAATAATCAAAATGAAGCTGAATAGGATGGCCGTGACAACATTCCTTGCCGGATTGGCCTCAGTAAGCTCCAGCCGATGCAGCTGCAACCTTTCAAGAAGATCCTCGTTGATTTTGTGTTGCGACACATGCTGTTGACTGCATCAGGCCTCCTTTTGCCAGAACTCTAATGTTTGAGCCAATGAATGCCTAGGGCAGTCCCCAACAAAAACGAAAACCACAAGTGAGAGTGGCCTTTCATGGACTCCCCCTGTATTGAGAAACACCGAGATACCAACCTTCCTTGCTCTCCACACAGGCTCCCGCCCCAACTGGAGGCTAATACAAGAACAAATTCCCTAAGAATACGCAAGTTGCAAATGTCGTTCCTTGAGTTGGTAACGCTGTTTTGGTGGTTGCGAAAGGAAAACGAAAAGGAAAATCAACTTCTTTTTTGGGGGAGGGTCGCCTAAAAAACACACACCCAACTGGCAATGGCGGTGGACACAGTTGCCGCTTTGGTCGGCCCACAGGGGGCAGCTTTTTGGCGTATGGACTTACTTCCTGAGATGGCCCCAAAAAACCTCCAAACTTTTTGTTTACCACTAAGATGGTCTTCCCAACAAGTTGTTAAAGTGCAAGGACTCGGGAAGTGAGTGGAATATGCCAAAGCTCACCGCAGCTTGAAGCTGGCAAGTTTTCGGATCACTATCCTGTTCGTTTGGACCCCTGCGCTCGCCCATGTCAGTGATGAAGCTGCTGCCTGTTGTGCAAACCCTTCCTAGCAAAGATGTAAACCAACAAGGACACAAAAAGCAACGTTGCAAATTTGGCAGATCCTGTCCAGTGAGACTCGTCTCGTGCCGCTCTTGGTCAATTTGTTCAGCATAAGGCTCGGCAAGCAACCACAATGGTTGGTGATGGAGACCTACAGCGGGCCCCGAGCCCCCAAATTGAGTGAAGCCCATGCGCTTATTCATTGGGAACCATGTGTCGGCATTGAACAATTGCTCCCAAAGTCGATTTTCATGGCCATTGACCCCTGGGGCGTATTCAAGCACATGGTGGTCCTTTCGCCTTCCCTTGTGCCCAAAGGGTAGCCTCTCTCAACAAGAAGGCCCACCCAAGCAAAGCTTCGGACCGCTGGTCTGAGACCTGGGCTTCCTTCCGCGAAGCCTGAAGGCTCGAGTAGTGCTCATTGAGGCTGAGCACCTGCAGGGTTTCGCCTGCAAAAGCTGCAATTTACTCGTGGGTCCCATTGAAACTGCCACTTTGGGTGGTCCTAACAAAGGCAATGAAGGGACACCTGTATTTGGGTACTCACAAATGAGTAAGTGTCTTTATGTGGCCACCACAATATATATATATATATATATGTAGCAGAATGTAATTGTTGTTGGCGCGCAGTGTTTCACTCCTTGTTGCTCAGTAGTGGTGAAATCCACCAAGTCTGAATACAGTTGTGCACATTTACGCATTTTACACACACATGATGGCACGCTGGCTTGGCGCTCACACGGCACGACTGGATCAGGTCGAGCAATGGTTTAACTCACACGCGGCACTCGGCTACTAGCAGCCTGTCAGCTTCGGGTTTATGTTGACTCCATATTGATCAACCCCAGTAGATTAATCGGAGGGGTGGCTCCACAAGCGATTCCCAAACCCAGGGACACCCCCCAAGCTGGGGTTGATTATGGGCGTTGCCATGGAGTCCATCTCACCTTCAGCTATTCATTGGACTTGGGAAGTTCTGGACGTGTCCTTGTGGCTTCACATTCCGAGAAGCAAATTCACCGTTGTCCTCTCATCAGGGAATCAGGGGTGAGTACTAGGATTCTGTAAGATTGAAGCCAACCACAATTGTCTGTCTACGAAATGTATGACTGTATGACAATTCCTTAAAGGACAAGGGATATTTTAAAGGGGCCTGGGTTGTGTCGCTTCCCTTCTCTCCAACTCTCCCCGTAGTTGTCAAGATATCGAAACACAACTTAGCCCTTGCCAAGATCACCCGACTTCAACACGCGATTCTCTTGGGCGCCGCGCAGTGTAGACAGGGTTTCGGAACTCCAAACGGAAGGGGCCAAAGCCTGGCAGAGAGCAGTGTCCCAGTGGGTCCCGAAATCTTCAGGTTCATTCGAGGATTTTATTAGTTGACTCTTAGATGAGCAATTACCCGAAGGAAAAAGGCAGGTTGATAGTACCCTATTAAGTTGTTGCTACCTTGTCTTCTGTTTTTCGCAACGTGACCCTTCAGGAACATGCCTTACATAATCGACATGCAATTTGGAACGGCGTCCATGGACAAGTGGCTGGGTCTCTGTCTCTTTGTCTCAGCTCTGTGTCTGTGTGCCTGTGTCCGTGTGCCTGTGGGCGCCTCTGTCTGAAGTTGGGAAGCATGCGCTAGTGCTGTGGGATGCTTTTGGGCAAAGGCACCTCCAACATGCGGAGAGTGATCGACCCCTCGTTTCAAAAAAATGGAGTTTGCCATGGAGCTCGAGCTCCCGAAAGACTGAATATCCCCTGTTTTGGCTGCGAATGATCAGCTGCCTCTCGTCTTTGAGCCAGTTCGCGGAAACGAGTACACAAAGGATCCGAACGTTTCTCAGAACAGAATCCCATGCGGTGTAACTAACTGCCCCGCATGTTTTTTGGCCGGGTGGTCTAAAGTCTGGTGGTTCAAGTCATGTCCATGGACCAAAATACTACACAGAAGGAGAAGGGGTCCTTTGCCTAATTACCTGGTGCTCGTAAACACCAAAGTTGGTCTTTTGCATGTTGGTTTCTCCTACCAAATGGCCGTCAACGTCCTCGTCTTCTGCTCATCCCCAAAACACGGCCTTTCTCAGCCAAGGAAAGGTAAACCTTGACAATGGTCCTACAAGAAGCTCAAAGCGAACCGAGACCTCTCCCCAACGCAACCTAACCGCAAGCGAACGCGGCGCCTGGCGGCTCCGTGAGAAATCCAGCCCAGCAAAAACTTTGGTGCCTGCAAGCAAGTGGCTCACTTTCTGCTTGGCCAAGTGTAGGCTGATTGTCCAAACTCAG